CCTAAGGCTTGCTCTATTTCCTACTTCATTAAGTCCAGTATCATTAGAACAAAGCAGAGTTTTCCCTTGAAACCAAAGCACATAGTCCAATCCACAAAATGAAACTCTTTTATTTTTTTCTTATTGTGAGTGCTAATATGGGAAACCATCGCTCAGTGGCAATAATATCCATCTGGGTACAGCAAGAACTAGAGTTCCAGTTTACCTCAGTCATTACATGTTCTAATTCCTATGGAAAAAAAAAAGGAAGATGCATCTTTACATCAAAGCCTGATTTCTCAGCTTATTTTTTAAAGCATGAGTCAAAGTGTAAGAGGAGGAAAGAGCATCCCACATAGAATGAAAAACAATTGAGAATTTGGTTCCACAACACTAGTTTTAACCTCCAGGGTAGTGGCATTTAATCCTGGCTGCAAGCTAGAATCAACGGGGGACTTAAAGTGAAAACAAAAACAAACTGATGTCCAAAGTTCCCAATTAAATTCAGATTCCTAGGGGAATGTCCTAGGCATCATACATGTATAAAATGCCCTCAAGTGATTCAAAGGGTCAGACAGAAGTGAGATTTCTGCATCTTATGGAATGTCAAAGAGATAGGTGTACTCTCATATTCATTGCAACGTTACTCCCGTGGGCAAAACATGGAAGCCAAATAGGTGTCCATTAGTAGTTGAATGAATAAGGGAAATGTAGTATACACAGTGGACTACGAAGAAGTCTTTAAACAGAATGACCCTCAGTCATTTCCAACAACATGGATGGAACTAGCGGACATGCTGCCAAGTGAAATAATCCTGGCACAGGAAGACAAACACCACACGATCTCACTTGCTTACATGTGGAATCTTAAAAAATTTCTGCCATAGAATCAGAAGAGAAAGGTGTTTACCATAGTGGGTAGATGATAGTGAAAAGGGAGATGTCCTTTAAAGCATACCAAGTTGTAGTTAGACTGGAGAAATGAGTTTTAGTGATCTGTACGGGACCACAGTTAATAACAACATATCGTGCATGTAAGATTTTCCAAAAAGATAGATTTTTAATATTCGCACCACAAAAAAAAATAACTTGATGTTTATGTTTGTTACCTTCATTGAATCTTTCTACAATGTCTATATTGATTACATTGTACTCTATAAATATGCAGTTATTACTAGATTTGAGATCTGCTGAGCTTACACAATACTCTTACCTTAATAAGTGAATAGTCATAAATACATGTAGTCCGACCACACCACCCCAAATTCATAAGAGGGAAAAAAAAAGGCTGAATAGAAATATCTGCAGTATGAAGACTCACAATGCTTCTTTCCAGGTTTAGTCTCACAAAGAAGAAAATATGGCCTTCATCTTTTTAAAAAAATTGTCCAGGCAGCACAGAAGCAAAATGAAAGAAAGTATGGGTAAAAAGGAAGAGGTGACAGAGTCATATCAAGATAGGAAGGAGGAGAATGGCTGAAACTGGGGGTGTTGGAGTAATAAGGCAGTCTCCACTGATGAGCTGTAGGTAATATCAAAGGCACATTTGCAGAATATTTCCTTTTCAGTAATTGTACAAAGACTCCCTTGCCATTACAAAGCACTTTTCTTCTTGGCAGATTGAAGAATGCTTTACCAACTAAATGCATCTCAGTAATATCCAGAGCTCAGGTCCAACATAATCACAAGTTGCCTTGTTATTACGGAGGTAGCAGCCCCATTTAATAACATATTAAATGCATTATTCATTTATGTAACTCAGACCCAGGGACAGCTGCTGGGATGAAAATAGAACCATTCTGTAATGCAAAAAGCAGGTGTGTGCTTACTTGAGTAAATTAACTCTGTATTTCTGCACAATTTTCTTCTAAATTTCAGGGACAGGTCTGGTAGGGCTAATGTGATGCCATTTTCATCCAAGAAATAAAATGGTTTCAGAATGGTTTTTAATGACCATTTAAAAAAAAAAAATCATCAACAGCCTTCTCTGTGGCAGAATCCCAGGAGGATAGATTCGTGCTTTGGGTTGAAGCAGAGCTCCTGTTGCTGCAGGATTTAGGAGAACCTGAGGTGATGATTGGTTAGAATGGGTGACAAACAAAAGAAATACTCTGCACCTCATGATGCCAGTAGCAGTGGTGGGCCAGTGCTTCTGGTGCTGCTCGCCAAGATGGAGCCACAGGTGTGTTTGATGCTATGCAATTAAAAAACATAACCTGCCTTTAGTTTGCACACTGCCACACCTCTGAAACCAGCAGGCAGTTTCTAATGCACAGTTAAACTCCCTGAGATGCCATGATTATTCCGGAGGGTTTTGCTGGTCATTTTCTTGCTACCATTGCTGTTACCAAAATGTTATCATTCTCCAATGTATGCACCATGGGAGGGTTTTTTTTTTCCCCCTCTTTCCTCTCCCACCTGCCCTTATTTTCTCTCTTAATCAGTTTACACTCATAAAAACATAAAAAGGGATTTCTTTTCTAGGCTGATGTTCAAATTGCTCATGCATGACAATGACCCAGCAGAATGGGCAGTGATCTAAGTGCTGGAGCTGGAATTTGGAGGCTGCCCATTCAGCTAGGTGTTAACTTCTTAGTTGATGGATTATGAGGAGAAGCAAGGACTCCCAGGATAGAGATCAGCACTGCTCATTTGGTGGGTGAGTGGTGAGTGTTTGGGGCAGCAGTAATAACTGATGCTATGCTGGTATGTCAACATGTAAACTGATGCAGTCATGCCAGTGAGGATTTCTAGATTCTCAGCTCTGCTTATTTGAGCACAAGGAGACCCTCAAGGAGCTTTAAAGTTTATACATTTCTCAGGAATCCTGTGAAATCATGCAATTCAAAGAATTTCTATTACATGAATCATGAAGACCTCTTTAGGAGTGTAGATGTGGGTCAGTCTTACTACTGTAAAGAGGCAGTGCAGGGTAATAGTAAAGAGAGGATGTGTTACAGGGACAAATAATCCAAATTGGCCATGCAACAGGACACAGAAGCAGAAGGAGCAGAAGAAAAGAAGTGGTTTCAAGAAGATTAGAAAGACATTTGGATGGAGCCGAGTAAGCTGGCTGGGGAGAATCTTCAGAAAAAGTAGAATAAAATCATCTTGTAGAGGGCTTATGTGAAGAATTATAGGATTCACAGTTTATCTGGAGGGCATTTGGAAACCATGAAGCTTGTGAACAGGGAAGAGAAATAACAATACTAACTGAAAATAGTTGAAAACATTTCACAAGTACTTGCTAAGTGATAGGGCAGTTTTCAGCAATCTGGGTACATTAATTCATGGAATTCTTGCACCTACCCCATGACATGAGTTGAGTATTAATGGTTGACCTTGTGCTGATCCATAATGTCCAAAGTGCTTTTGCAAATTTCTCATTGATTTTTTAACCCTGCTTTTAGCTTGTCAATCCTGAGATTCAGGAACGGAGGGAAGGACATTGGCTAGATGTAAATGAATTGGAAAACTGCCTGCAGCTCAGATAGATCCAATCTATTGCCAGTGTTGTCAAGTTTTCCTGGAACCTAGTTTTACCCATTCTTTCATGTACTGCGTGAACTTTTCATGGTATAGTCACCAAGCTGAGTAGTTGTGACAAAGACTATGTAGCCTACAAAGCAAAAGGCTTATTAGCTGGCCCCTTAAAAGTTTGCCAACCTCTGGTCTAGTATATTTTGATTTCTTCCAATTTATGTTCTACCACTAACTCTGGAAAAGTGAATTTGAGAAATCAAATATAACTACAGGGGTTGCTGAGCCCCTCGGGGTAAAAAAAAGATGAATTGGTAATGCTGAACCTCAAAGTTCTTAAAGGTTGGTCATCCTGAATATATAGATTCTAATTTACCATGAAGCTGATAAATTTCTAATAAATTGAAAGGGACATATTTGTAAGATAATTCATTTATTCTTTTATTAGAGCTAACATGAGAATAAGCAAAAGTTTGAAGGATTTACTCAGAATGCAAAAACTGAAGCCTCCTTGGTGTAAGGTTTCAATAGTTCAATCAGTATACCTTCTCAAGAAATGATTAGAAATTACCAGATTTAGCCAGCTTTTTCTGTACTATGCCATTATTGTAGCATCCTTTCTCTGAATTGTAAGTTCCCTTGCCATCTATGCAGTAGTCCCCCTTTATCCACAGTTTCACATTCCACAGTTTCAGGTACCCATGATCAACTGCAGCCAAAAAATGTTAAATGGAAAATTCCAGAAATACATGTTTTATTAGTTTTCAACTGTGTCTCATTCTGAGCAATGAGGTGAACCATGCCTAACTCTACATCACAATGCCTTTGTCATTCAGCTAACAGCGTCTCATCATGTAGCCATTGTTCACCTCCCATCATCATAGGAAGATACTGGGAGTTCAATAAGATATTGGGAGAGAGAGAGGGAGACAGAGAGAGACCACATTCACACCAATGCTATTATAGTCTATTATTGAAATAGTTCTCTTTTATTGTTATTTTTGTTAATCTCTTATTGTGTCTAATTTGTAAATCACACTTTCTAATAGACATATGTGTATAGGGAAAAGCTTGTATTTATCAGGTTTGTTACTACTCATAGTTCAGGCATCATTGGGGATCTTAGAACATATTCCCAGGACTGTATTATTCATTCTGGTTCTTAATTATATGTTCTTTAAATGATCTCCTTAATTATCGATTTATGTCTCTTCATCCTGATTTTTGACTTAGTGTAGGGACAATGTCTTCCACTGTGTGCATTTCCTATAATGAAGAAAGTGAAGAAGTGATTCATCAGTTGATTTGATGAATCAAAGAAGTCAATTAAGATGCAAATAATAGATAACAATTTGTTGCTCCAATTATTTCTCTCTATTGGAAGCTAGATATGAATCAGCCCTAATGCTCAGAGTAAAAGGGGAGGTAGGTGGGTGATGGCCCTGATGGTCCTCAGGGCCAAGCAGCCCAGTGTAGTAAAATCGTGGGAGTAATCTTCTTTGTAAAGAGCTAGTTGACAACTTGAGCTTTTCTCCTTTCAGGTATAGAAAGGTGGTTTCCAATAACTGCACTGATGGCGTGCGAGAACAGTACACGGCCAAACCACAGAAGTGTCCAGGGAAGGCCCCTCGTGGGCTCCGGATCGTCACTGCAGATGGAAAGCTGACAGCAGAACAGGGGCACAATGTCACTCTCATGGTGCAGCTGGAAGAGGTAGGCTGATTCCTGTCTCCCCCTCTCACCTTCTAGAGCTGGTGATTTTGTTCTAACAAAGCATAGTTTCCTTTGCGTATCTTTTTTAACCTTCTCATTTTTGATGCAGTTGTTTTTTGGTCTTTTAACTTTGCTTTATTGGCACTTTCAGCAAAATATATTCTCAGGATACATTAACAGTATTCCCAGAGTAATTTAACCCACACATATACTCACCAACCTAAAAGATGCTAATGCTTTTGCCCTCTCAGCCTCACTTCTTGGCTTTTTTTTTTTTTCCAAAGGGAACAGGCTGGTCAAACATACATCACGAAGGCCAATCTAAACATCACCAAGTCTAATATCTTTGACAGTTGAGAGCTTGTATTTTGGTAGCACCTGAGGGATATCATTATGAGCATCAATTATTTTTTGCCAAACTATGGTTGTCTGAAATTTCTGACTACATAGATGGCAGATAAGATGAAGTTTCTCCTATGAGGTTTAGAATGCACACAGGATTTTTGTCATCTTGTAAATGAAGAAGGCCTCCCAGGGATAAGTACTTTCATTACATTATTTCAGTTATTACACCAGGCAGTCCTACCTTCAACCATATTTTGGGGGAAGCTGAAATGTGCCCAGCACTGTACTGGGCCAAACAAATAAAAAGGGATTTTAAAAGTCAATATTAAATATATACCATTGCCTTCCAGTTTCCTCTTCTGACAGTTCTTGGCTTCAGGTCTTTGACATGCATGGACTCCCCTGGAGAGCATTTTCAAATGCTGTGTTTTGGTCACATCCCCAAAGATTTTCATTTGGAGAGTTGGCATGGGGCCTAAGAATTCCTTTTTGGAGCAAGTTCACAGGTTATGCCTTGTGCTTGGAGGAAAACAAACAAAAACAATGTCAGTGTTTTGGGGAGAGGACAAATAAGGAGAGAACAAAATCATAGGCTCTGGGGCATAACTTGAAAGAAAAAGGTGAAGTAATTAGGATTGCTTTGTCAGGTTACATCAAAATTATTTGTATTTTTGTTCCTCTGGGATAAATGAATATTGAGTTTGAAACTGTGGCTTAGATGATGCTTTTCCTTCTAGTCCAAGAGATACTTAAAAACCAGTGCTTTAATCTAATACTTTTTTCCTAATATTCCTAAATGAGTGCCTTTCAAGACCAATATTCTAAATACTGAGATTTCCCCAAAATCCTGTATTGGAACTAGAATTATACAAGTTAATTTAGGTCAATTGGAATTGCTTGTATTTCACATAAATAAATTCTGTGGGGACTTCTGCCTGAGGCTATGGCAGATTAGCTTGCAGCAAACCAAATCAAGAAGACTGGGAAGCTAAGTTCTCTTCTCGAGAGATGAGGGATTCGATGGGATTAGTACAATATTTTATCTTATATTTCTCTTCAAGAACTTTGTCAATTGATATATTATACTATATAGTAGGCTTGGATTTCAGATTCCTAAATAAGACCAGACAGAAAGTGTTGGCTAAAAAGGAATAAAATAATAATAATAATAATAATATAAGAAATAAAGGAAATGAGTAGTAGAGCACTTGCTTAGCCTGTATGAGGCACTGGGTTTGATGCTCAGCACCACATAAATAAATAAATAAATAAATAACATAACATAAAGTATTGTGTCCATATACAACTAAAAAAAATGGTAGAAAATGATGAAATGATAGGTAGGTCTAACACAGATGGAATTATAGGCCTAGCAAAGAGGGACATAAGGAGCAAGCATCACTTCTGAAGAAATAGTGGCTAAGAATGTTCTTAGAGTCAAGAAATGGAACAGAGTCAAGAAACAGAGGTATATAAAAATATATGTTTATGTATTCTCTAATGAAATGAATATATATGTGTATGTGTACTTACAGAGAATGTATATATATATTTCAGTAACAAATACATAAATATCAATAAACAAATCATAGTCTTTTCAATAATGGTGCTGCAACATTGAATATCTTCATGGGATTTTTTTTTTAAAGAGAGAGTGAGAGAGAGAGAGGTAGAGAGAGAGAGAATTTTTTAATATTTATTTTTTAGTATTTGGCGGACACAACATCTTTGTTTGTATGTGGTGCTGAGGATCGAACCCGGGCCGCACGCATGCCAGGCGAGCGCGCTACCGCTTGAGCCACATCCCCAGCCCCTCTACATGGGATATTGAGGCCATTGACTATCCTGTGTCTTCCCATAATACGACAAATAATTCTCACTGGACTGTCAATCTAATTTTGAAAGATAAAACCAAATTTTCTAAAAGGAAACAAGAGTATCTTCATGACCTTGAGTTTGACAAAGATTTTTTTTTTTTAAAGGAAACAAGCCGCTGGGCATAAAGAATCTATGGTTTAGAGCACATTAACAAATACTATATAAAATCAAACAAAATATAGTCCTTTGTCTTTAGATCTTTTTTGGGGAAAAAAAAAAATCTCTGTTGGATTCTTAGGGAAGAATTCATTTCCTAGACCAACCCTCTACTCTGTTTACCTGCATTGTATATTTCCCAGAGACACATGGAACCTGATTATGATTCCCCAAAAGGTATCTCTTTTGTAGAAGTAGATGCTTATTCTGTTGCTCCATTTCTTAGAACATAGTAGAGCACTCTCTGAAGTAAGTCCTTTGGCTCCTGGTCAGCTCAGACTTTTGCACAAATGAGGACACACTTGAGGGGCATGGCCTTATCTCAGTTCCATCTAGCTTTCCAAATAACAATGATTATCAGGCATTTCACAATGGGCTGCCTGACATGGGAAAATGGGAACAGACTGGGTGACCTGGTACTAAGATGTGTGAATTCATGCCTTCTGCTCTCAGGAAGGGAAAAAAAAATATTAAGTCAATTCATTCCACTTGAGTGGGTGAAGCTACATTGGCAGGGATGAAATCTGCTGCCTTCTGCTGTCAGACATGGCCCCTGGATGCTCTTATCTCCTGTGCAGACATGGAAGCCAAGACAACTGACTCCCATCAGGAGGCCCTGGAGACCACACATTTGAATATGGGATTCTGTGCTTATTCTTCACAGACTCTTGCAGAAACAACCTCAGTTTTTCTGTTGCTCTCTTGATTATGCACATAGGCATGTGTGATAAATGTAATGAACAAGGAAGAGTAAAGGTCTCTGTGTATCCAGGGAGCAATGAACTTTGGCACAATTAATGACAATTTGGATGTACATGTATTGAGCACTATCAGTTCTAGTTTGCAAGTGCATCACTTGGATTATCTCATTTAGATCTCACAATGCTCTATGTAAATAGGTGGTGTCATATTTGCCATTTATAGATGATGTAGCTGAGGCCCAAAAAAGCGAAGTAACTTAGCTGAGATCATACACGTACTAAGTAGTAGATTCAGGAGTCAAGTTCAAGCTTGTAGCATCTTTCTATAGCTTCTCTATGATAGAAAGAAACATTATCTGAGCAAGAACTTCCTGTAGTTTCTATGCCTCTGTAGAAACCCTTGGCTGGGGGCAGATAGTAACAAAGACAAAGAAGTAGAAAGGAAAACCAACACCATCTCTGCCCAAGCCAGTTTGGCCTACAGGTGCTCCTGTATTGTCAGACACTAGTTGGCAAATCTACCAATATTTTCCTTATTTTATGAGATGATTTATACTTTCAGACCAGTTTGTTGAAAAACATTTCAGCAAAGAGAGATACTAAATTCTCTCTTGGGTTTCTCCCTCTTTGCAAAATTATGCCTTTCATGAATGCCTACTTATATCTGACATTGTTGAATTTATTCTAAAGAATATTGAAAATCATAGGCTATAAATGCAGTACCTAAGGAGTTTAGAATCCATGTATAGTAAATCAAATTTCTCCTGTGGCTTAGGTATGAATTAAAATGTAATTGTTTAATAAAAATTAAATCCCAAACTAAAACGATTTTAAAAATTCCCCACAACTGGCAGCACATGTTGTTTCTAAATCCTCCTCAGACATCTCTGAGCATTCACTTCTCACTTGAACTTGATGCACCTAATTTACTTTGGAAATAGTGTCTCACTCATGCCCAGTATCTAGTGCCAAGTGTTATAACAATAGGAATATTTAATGTCATTCCTCTGAAAAATAGCAAGTCTTTCCGGTACCAAAGGGATCCAGAGGTCCCTGCTACCTTATGATGTGACATCATGGTTGTGATTAATGCAGAAGTGGATGAAAGACTCCCCTTCCCTAGAGGGATATTTGTTTTTACTTGTGCACTGAAGCCTGTATCTCTGTTTCATTGTTCAACTTTCTCCTATAGTCTTGTGATCCCTCTTGGGCTTGGAGGATGTATGGGCTGATGAAGCCCTCTTTTTTGTTCTCAATTACTTACATCCAAACCCCTTCACATAGTTTCCATCTCCTCTGCCTATTAACTGAAGCACCATAAGGCTCAGGAAGCAATAGTTAGATGTGTATCTATTTATTTGTTCTTTAATATATATTTTTCTAAGCACCAATTTTATGTCATGTACTTTCCATTCACAAGCAGACTTACTTTAGGTGTAAGTGGGAATACATGTTTTTGAGTTAACTAGGACCTCTGCTGTATTGAACACTATGTAAAAATCCATCCATATGAAGCATAAATGACTAAAAAGTAAAGAACAAAAAAACAAATTTATTGCATCACATTACAATAATATTTTTTACATTCTCAAACTATGAATATCATTAAGGTAAGAATCATGTCACTTCTAGTTGCATATTGATAGAGCACATTTATAGAGAAAAAATAACTCAATAAATATGTGTGGATTTGAATAAGCTTCTCCAGGAAGAACAGAGATAAAGCCCAAACTTGGAAGGAAAAGACTGTTGAAGTTTGAATACCTTACAAAACAGGTTAAAATCTCCATCTGAAATCTAAGTCTCTTCCTTTATCCTCTAATTGTGCATGTCCTAATCGCAACATAGGAATACATGAAGCCAAGCCCAGTGGCCCATGCCTATAATTCTTGCTTCTCAGGAAGCTGAGACAGAAGGATC